GAGGAGGAGGAGGAGGAGGAGGAGGAGGAAAAAGTGGAAGAGGAAGAAGTGGAAGAGGAAGAAGTGGAAGAGGAAGAGAAGACAATGAATAGAAAGAGACAGAGGACGAAAACTAGGAGGACGAGGAGGAAGGTATTAGTATTAGCATCTACACGACACAATTGTACAGGTTACTATGGACTGTCGTCATTCAACTGCAAAAAATGTACCATGATAATGCTGCTCGAATTACGAAGGTCACGGCGACCTTTTGAACACACCAAAGCAGCAATGGTCGGTTAATGAATTCCTCCCTCGTTAATTTTATGCTGTTGATTTCAGCTGCTTCACTCTTATACACTGATATTTATATTATTATAAAAAGAAGAAAGGATAGGTCGTGCTTACCCGATGAACACAGCAACACGAACAGTGATGGTGGTGCCGAGGATTCCAGAAATCAATACATGTACTCAAAAGCCACGGAAGGTAGATCTGTGTCAGTGTCAGCAGCTCGTGCTTGACTCACGATACCGGTCGAACACACAGACCACTGCTGCACACATTAGTTCCAGCAGTTCCACTCTTTCGATCTAGCTTACGAACTCCTCTTGTTCCAGTCTTGTCTTCGCGCACGCACGGTATAGTATGTAAGTCCCAGCACAGACGGGTCAGTTTATTGACACAATCTCGCCTACTTAGTGCGTGTGTGCGACTTGCAGGCGACTTTCATACTTAACGTGTAGATCTATAATGTGCATGGGGTAGAATCAAGGACCTTCCAGCAACTATACAACCTCCTCGAGTAGGTCTGGACTTGGCTACCTGTCACGCACACCGCAATGCACACGGGAAGACTAGAACAGGCCACTGTTGTGTGTAAATCTAGTGTGTAGTGGCTGATGAGAGTAGTGTGTGTTGTAAAGATCGAAAAGAGGTCAAGGAGTTATGGGGGGGGGGACATACCGAAACTAACAGTGATGTATTGGCTGGATTTAGATCGCTTGTCATTGGACCCTAACAACCATGCAAATAACCAAGTAGCGATTGTTTCGTAAAAGATAATGTAATAAATGTAAGCTTTTGTCACAAGTATGCTGGAATCATCAAAACACGTGGTTGTTTTTATCCTTGTATATATTTTATGTATTTGTCTTAAACGGATTGAGAGGGTTGGAGAGGGACGGGGAAAGGAGAGTTGGGAGAGAGCGCGGGGGAGAGCATGCTGGTCATGGAACTGATGAGTAAGCTAGAGAGAGAGGGGGGGAGGGTGGAGAGAGAGA